TAATGAAGTTATGAATTACATTAAGTTGATTGGCAATAGGGAAAGGTGGTGATGAAAGTTGCTTCAGGGAGGTGGTCTCCCTGACACGGTGGAGCTGGTCACACATCTTCAGTCCAGTAACCCCAGAAACTAGCTTTGAGGCGAGGCAGCCTGTGCACCAATATGAGAAGGAGCAAAGTGTGGGGTGTTTGAAGGATGCGTGTGTGGGAAGGGGGAGAGGTTTCCCTTACCCATGGTGTTCTACCTGCTTCACTCTTTCTTTGTTTTGAATGAAGAATAACTTTTCTGCCCTCTCGCTTCTGTTGGCACTGGAGTCAGACATGCCAAGTGCCATGACAGTTTTGAAAAATCCTCCAGGAGCAAGTGACTTGGGACACCCCCTTTGGAATAGATTAGCCACAGACTGACTTTTACATTGTGTGCCTCACCTCCACACTTTGGTGATTTGGGGGGCAGATATTTGGATAGTACCAAATGCCTTAGGTGTAAAATCTTTTCATATGAAAATTCGAAGTAATTGATTTCTGTACCCAAAGAAATGCCAAAAAAAAAAAAAATAGATCAAGTGGTAGAAATCTCCAGTACTGCAAAAGAAAAAAAAAAAAAGAAACAGAAAACTCCTTAAAGAAATCATCACAAACAATTCCTTTTATTCTATCACTAAGGGGAAAAAAGAACTAATTATATTAAATGCTTATACAAAAAACAAGTCCTTATGCCCTCTACTGAGACTCTCTTCTAGTTCTTTAAGCTTTCTCATCTGGTTCTGTCTTTGTTTTTGCAAGTGTTGGGGATTGAACCCCAGGCCTAACATATGCTAGGTGCCTCCCTGTACCACTAAACTACATTCCCAGCCCTTTTCTTCTTATTTTGTAATATGCTTCTTCTTCCCTTTCTTTCTTTCTTTTTTTCAAGACAGGGTTTTTCTACGTAGCCCAGGCTGGCCTGGAATTTGTTATGTAGCCCAGTCTGACTTTGAACTCAAGATCCTCCTGTCTCAAGTGCTAGAATTTTAGGCATGTACCACCATGCCTAGTCTTCTTTTCTCCTTTTTTTTTTTTTTAAAGAATGGTTGCAACTTTACTTAATTAACCAATTAGTTAAATTTCTCTCTATATAACTCAGGCTGGTTTTGAACTCGCAATCATCCTGCCTCACTTTTTCAAGTGTTGTGATTATAGAAACCATGCCTGATCTCTTTTCTTCCTTTTTTTCCCCTTAAGATTTATTTATTTATTGGTGTTAGAGATGGAACGCATCCAATGCTCTACCACTGAGCTATACCCTCAGCTTTATTTTTTTTTGAGACAATCTCAGTATGTAGCCCAGTCTGGCCTTGAACTTTCTATTCTCCTTCCTCAGCCTCTCCAGTACAGGCTTACACCTACCGCTCTGGGCTTCTTTTATTTCTTATTAGAATTTTTCTGTGGTGCTGGGGATTAAACAAAGGTCCTTATACATTCTAGGCAAATGCTGTACCACTGAGCTACATCTCCAGCTGACATTTCTTTTAAAAAATGTTTTATGTATCTATTTTTCATTTTTTGGTAAGACTGGTCTTTTATTCCTTAATCAGAGTTGTTTCACAGTTTTGGTCAAGTCCGTGGTCAGTGTTTGCAGTATCATCATTGTGTAAATAATATTCATTATAAAGTCAAGTAGTATATTTTGATTGTTTCATGTCTTGACAATCCTTTGCTTGTTGTGAGTTATAACTTTTAAAATAATTCACTTAGTTTACTATGAACCTATCTTCCCCTTATTTCTGAAATGTCAGTTCTGTTAAATGCTTGTTTATAGTTTTCCTCAAATGGTCAACATATCAGGTAATCTTAATTTTCCAGACTTGACCCGGTCTGTACTGAATAAATTTTTAGTCACCAGCGCCATCTGCTGACTATTTGATGAAGTGGAAAGTCAGAAGTCACAGAGTTATTTTTTGGTGGGACTGGGGTTTTAAGCTTGCAAAGCAGGCACTCTACAGTTTCAGCCACACCTCTCAAGTCACAAGGCTGATGTTTTCAAACTGGAAGATATCCTTTCCATAGCCTCTGACCTTAAGAATGACATCCTGGAGAAAGGAATGAAGACCTTGTGATAGGAGTAGAAAAAAATAAAATAATTCAATATTTTTTGTTAGCTTTTTGTGTCATTTCCTAGGAGGAAGGTCTATGTTTTAATCTTCCTTTTCTAAGCCTTTTGTTTGATCCACCAAAGAAAGAGGGAAAGGTAGACTACCTATTTTTTTAAATTGCACCTTTATTTATGTTTACTCAATGTGTGATAATCTGCACATTTAAAGGATATGATTTCATGAGTTTTTACATATACACCCATGAAACTATTGCCCATCAAGATAATGAACATGTTTACCATTCCCCAATGCTTCCTCATATCCTTTCCCTCCCTCTACCTGTTCCTAAGCAACCACTGACCTCCTTTCTCTCACCACATATTAGTTTGCATTTTCTTTGATTTTATATAAATGGCCATGGTTTGAATGGTTTGTCCTCCAAGAGTTCATGTGTTGGAGGCTTATTCCTTATGGTGGCAGTGTTGAGGTGGTAGGATTTTTTAACAGTTGGGCCCTAGTGGAAGGTCATTAGGTCATTGGGGTGCTGCCCTCAGAAGAGATTAAGGTAGTTCTCATGAGACCCTGAGTTAGTTCTCACCAGAACAAGTTGTTATGAAAGTACTGGACCTGGAATCTATCTCTGGCTTCCTGTCTCTTCATGTGGTCTTTCCCCCTTGCACCATGCTACCACCTACTCTGAGTTTCTCATCAGAGACACGCCAATGCCAGTGCCATGCTCGCAAACCCCCCAAACTGGGAGTTAAATAAACCTCATTTCATAATATACAACAGACTGTTGCAGATTCCTTTTATGCATGCTCTTATCTTGAGACTCATGCATGCTGTTGTGTGTATCAGCAGTTTATTTCATGTTATTGCCAAGTAGTACTCTATTCTACAGATTTACTACAAAAAAATTGGTGTATCTTTCACTTATTAATGGACATTGTGTTGTTTCCAGTTTTTGGTTGATATAGGTAAAAATGTTGGGCTGCTGGACTGGCTCAAGTGGTAGAGTGTCTGCCTAGGTACCACCAAAAAAAAAGTTATGGACATTCATGTGCAAGTTTTTGTGTGGATACATTATCATTTCTTTTTCTTTTTTTGTGGTACTGAACTTAGGTCCTCATGCTTGCACTCTACCACTTGAGCCACACCTCCAGCCTTTATCATTTCCTTATCGAGATTGGTAAATTTTTGCTTACTTAAAAAAAAAAGAACAAAACTCACCAAACTGTTTTACAACATGGTTGTACCATTTTACATTCCCCCCAACAGTATGTAAAAACTCCACATGTTGCCAATACTTAGTATTGTCAATCTTTTTAATTTTAATGTTTGAGTTTGTAGTGTTTTCTCATTGTGGCTTTAATTTGACTTGCATTTCCCTATTACCTAAAGATGTTGAGGATCTTTTCTTTTGCTTTTTTTGAGCTACCCAGTCTTAAATATTCTACTGATAGTAAGTCTATCTAAGTCTTAGGAAAGGAAAAGTGATACATGACAGGTACCATAAAAAATCTCATTCACCAGATGGATGTGGTGGAGGTGAACACCACATCAGAAGGCTGAGGCAGGAGGATCTCAAATTCCAGGCCAGCCTGGGCTATCTAGCAAGACCCTGTCGAAAAAGTTCATTTACCAGTTGGCTCTGAAATTCTTTCCCACATCTGAGGGATAAAGTTATTCTTTGGGCTTCAAAACAAAGAGCAGTTATTTTAAAAGATGTTTGTATTAAAATGCCCATATTAGGGGCTGAGAGCAAGGCTCAAGTGATAGAGTGCTTGCCTAGTAAACATGAGGCCCTGAGTTCAAACTTCATTCCCACCCAAAAAAAAAAAAAGTGCCCAAGTTATCTGTAAGTTAAGGGACAGCCTGGATATAGTATCTCCTGTGTTTTCTTCTATTAGAACAGACTATTTTCTAGATTAGCTAAAAGTTATTTAAAAGAGCACAGAGACTTACTTTGAGGGAATGGCAGAGTGGCTTTGCTTTGTAAAGGAGGTGAAGAGGAGGGCAAATAGAGAATGAAGAATTGCAGAAGAAATTAGAAATGGCAGACTGGATAGGACACCTTGTCTGGTACACTGCCAGTGTGGATATATGTATGAAGGGGCGTGTTGTCAGGTGGGTGGGACTGAGAGGAGGCTGGGAAGATAATGATGAATAGTGGTTAGATCAGGGAGGGCAGGGCCCCAGACAAAGCAGAAGGCTGAAACTCAAAACTGGGGAAAGATATTAAATATAAAAACAACTTCCTTCATAATTGTGTTCAGAATGGCACTGTTACTTAGAACACCCTGGATTAGAACTTGTCTCCTTAGATTTTCTTCTACAAACTGGATTCCTCCAGTTTTGAACTTTTGCCCCTTTCCCAGCTCTTGCTTTTTAGCTTCATATGAGAAAAAGGAGTAGCTTTTGTTGTGGCATTCACTGCTTCAGTTCCCCAGTTCCACAGCCAAAGTGTGTGTGTGTGTGTGTGTGTGTGTGTGTGTGTGTGTGTGTGTGTGTGTGTAGACAGGGTCTTACTATGTAGCCAGGCTGGCTTGGACCTTGAGATCCTCCTGCCTCAGCCTCCCAAATGCTGGCATTACCACATTAGCTTCAAAATAATTAATTGTTCACTGTTTTCCGCCTAGGTTCAATTTCTGGCTCTGCCATTTATTAGCTATGTAGTTGCTTAATATTTCTGTACCTCAGTTTCCTTACATAAAAATAGAGATAAGAGCCAGGCATGGTAGCACGTGCCTGTAAATTCTAGCACTCAGGAGGCTGAGACAGGAGGCTGGTGAGTTTGAGGCTATTCTGAGCTACATAGCAAGCCCCTGTCTGAGACAGGTGGGGAGAGAGAGGGAAGAATGGGGAGTGGGTGGGAGAAAGAAAGAGAATATACTACCTTCCTCAGAATTAAGAGAATTAAATGAATTAATTTTTTTTGTGTGGTGCTGGGGATCAAACCCATGGTAGGCAAATACCCTAGTCCTAAATGAATTATTATTTTTCCTGGTTGTACTAGGGACTGAATTCATGGTATCACAGTGCTCTACCACTTGAGCTACACACCCATTCTCTTTGGTTTGCACTTTGTCTGGGCTTGCCAGGAACCATGATCCTCCTACTTCTACTTCCCAAATAGCTGAGATTACAGATGTGAACCACTATGCCTGGCCATGAATTAGTACTTTAAAGAGGTTTAGAACATTGTATGGCAGACTTTAAATTCTAAATAAATGTTAGCTATTAATCAAATTTTAATTCCTTGATCCTACTTTCAAGGTGCTTCATAGTCTGGCCTCTACCTATCTAACTTTCTATCCCATTACTCCCTGCCTACTTCCATTTGAGTTTTGCCAGTTTCCTCACTGAATCATGAACCTATGCAACTTCAGATAGTTTGGAAAGTTCTTAATTCAAATCCTACCAACTTTTAAGCTTACTTTAAAACCCATTTCCTTTAATAGCTTTTATTAACTTCTCATTACTTTATTTCTCACCAACCATCTTCTCATCTGAATTCACAGTGCCATAGAATTTAGTGAAGAATTACACACTCATGATTCTTTCATCTGAATCAGTTTTATATCTCTAGTAACGTGCAAAAACAATAACTGATAGTTTCTGAGCCCTCTTTCAGTGAAGTGAACACATTGCCTTTCCTCCATTTCATGCATCTGTAAAGAGATTCAACATAGGCAACAGAGAACAGTTGGAGAATTCATAACTTTAATAATAGATTAGTTAAGGGTGGGGATGACAGCTTCTGTCCTATCTGTGCCATTCTCCAAAAGTTGGCTCCCTTTGCCTAAGATCCAGGCAATGCCCAGTTCATTTCTGAACCAAGAAAGCAGAATACACCTTACCCAATATAATCACCAAAAATTTTTTTCTTTGGCGGTACTGGAGCTTGAATTCAGGGCTTCGCCCTTGCTAGGCAGGTACTCTACCACTTGAGCCACATCTCCAGTCCTCATCAAATAGACTTCTCTCCCTAATGATTCTTAATTACTTATGGATCATGTTGTGTCTTTGTTTTTTAGTTATTGCCTCTTAAAAATCTCACCCTTTAAGTTCTTTACTGATCATTAAGACCACTGTAACTTCTAAGCTTGAAGGAGTGATTTCAGGAGTAGATGAGTTAAAACAATCTGCTTACTACAAATGGGACTGGAAAAATTGGTGAAGAGCCCCATGCAGAGGTATGGAATGCAAAAACCTTGCCCAGAATCTTTGTTCTGCCATAATTTCATCTCCATGTCTGACTCTGGATGTCATTTTCATGTATCTCCAAATCCCCACTGTTTCCTTTGGCAATTCTTGGTGTTCTTCCATGCCAACTTTTATCCTCAAATAATTTCCAAACTAGTCATGGGGTTGCTGGCCTACTTACTGAATGCAGTGCCACAGAACAAAGAACCCTGAAAGAAGTGGGGTTAGGAAGGTTGCTTGGTAGAGAAGAACCCCTACATCAGAGGGGAAGAGATGCAACTTCTCTAAGTCTGGCAGGAAGGCCCGGGCATCCTCCAAAGCTGCCTGAGCTGCCACAGTAAAATTGGGGTCACCAGAGATTAAAACATCAAAGACACATGATTGAAAGTAAGCATCTTCAATGGGAAGCCTTTCTTTGCACAGCTGTTTGGCAGTATCTATGGTTATAGCTCCCCGACGATTGCGCTCTGAGCGAGAGATTCGCTGACTTGGAGGGCACCCCCCAACACAAAGCTGCAGGTCCTGCTCAGCTGAGAAGGCCCTGGCCACATCCTCAGCTACCTTGATGGAGAAGGAGAGCTGCCCAGCTGTCTGCCGAATGACTATAGTTGTGCCAATATAGGCAGCTCGGATCTCCACATGACTCCCAGGGTTAGCAGTTTGAATAGACAAACTCGAACCCCCTGGTCGGTCACCTCCATTGACAGAACCATCTTCAAAGGCTGCAGGAAGATTGTCCACCTCAGCCTGGTAGACCTTCTGATCAATGCATTCCTGCATGTTCTTAAAGATGATGGTGAGCTGTGAGGACAAGAAGGGAAAAGGTTCATTTGGGGCTCAGTTCATCCTCCCCCCAAATCAGACCACATATATGGTCAGGGATCTGATCCAAGCAGAGATTCAAGGTTTCTTTGGGGTTCTCAATCTTGGATCCTTTCCCTTATTATGCCTCATCCTACTCAATCCCACTCTCTACTTTGGCCTCAATTTCAGCAACTCTCAAAGAGACGGAAAAGTGTCCCTTCTGAAACTCCACAGTTCTGCTATCCCCAGCTTTCTCTTCAGTGTTTTCTGCAGTTGAGTGAAATTCCCATCAAGGGAAATTAATTTGTAGGAGCAAATGTTTGGTTGGAGCAAGTGATTCTGGATGGAAAAGTAGATGAGACAGAAAGGCAATAGGGAGCTTTGCTGTGGAATAGTGGGAATGGAGAGGGAGTGGTATCCTAGGAGAGTCTCATGAGGCTAGTTGGGAGGAAAATTGAATCCCTGACCTTGCGGATGGTTGTAGCGTTGACCCCCGATGCTACCGGGGAGCTGGTGGCCTGGACAAAAAGGAAGTTGTTATCCAGTAAGGGCCAAGCTCCTTGAATACGGCAGGTGTGAAAGTGATGGTGGAAGCTGCGCACGTGGGGGTCCCCGAAGGAAGCGCAATGCAAGAAGCCTGGGGAACGACTGTGCAGTCGGGAAAACCGGCCTTCATAGTCACAGGGGTCTGGGGCGGAGGACCCGGGGCTGGAGCCCGGAAGGGCGGGACCCCGGGGCGGGGGCGGGGCCGTAGGGCCCTGGCGGGAGCAGTTGTGCTGGATCATTAGGTCTTCGATGCCGTGTACTGCTGAATGGAAGGCAAGATCCCCGCGGCAGGTGCGGGCGGTGCGCCGAGTGCAGAGCTCATAGGAGCGGAGGGCTCGGCAGAAGCCGCCGGAGCCCATACCTCCACCTCGGCCTCCTCCTCCTGGAAGCGCTCCTGGTGAACCTCCACCTCTAAGGCTCAGGGTGGAAGATACGTACTCAGCATTGCAGCGGAGGATCTTGCATTGAGAATGAGCTGAGAACGCGAGGGAGAGAACTGTGAGACGTTCACCAGACCTCGCCTTAACTATAGGAGTATGCCCAACTCTCCCGAACCTCATTAGGGGATTCCAGCTGTTCCCATAACCCAGCTACTGGCCTTCCCCAGCCCCCAGCCCTCAGCTCCTTCGTTCTTCATTCTTACTAAAAATGTGTAAGTCCACTAGTTCTCCTCTCCCGGTCAATCAAGGGCTCCCGCGGTGCCCTCCCCAAGGTGAATGGGAAATAGAATATACCTATTTGAGAGAGGGGCGAGTGACTGGGACTCAGCAGCCATTTCTCCTTACTCACATGCTCACAACCCTCCCCTACACAGTAGCCTACCCACTAGATTTCCCCAAACCCTTCCCTGGCCCTTCCTTACCATGTCCACAGAGGAGCAGCAGGAGAGTGAGAGTGCTTAGAGTTGGGGAACTGCCATGGGGGGACTGGGGTCTAGGGGGTTGGCCTGGATCCCCCATACCTATCCAGCCAGGTCCCCCCAGGCACCGGTTCTTCCCAGCTGATGACCCTCCTACCTAGTGAATTTTGACCGGCTGTCCTGTGACTGAAAAAAGAAATTTGGCTGGGCATGGGGAAAGAGAAGAGTTGAAGAATGGTCAGGATGGCGTGAAGAGAATCTGGGGAGATCGAGACAAGGATAAGCAGACTGGAGTTTGGGGAGAATGAGGCTCGCGAAACTGTAAGTGTGGCTGGTAAGCCTCAATACCCTGCTCCTGTGGCTACCTTCAGATCCCTTGTGCAATACTCCTAAGTGGGGGTGGAGGGAAGGTTGAGTGAACTTCAGGTGGGCAGAGTCCACTGTATTGCCCCATCCTGACTACCAAACAGCACATATGTCAAAAATGGAGAAATCATGGGGATAGATCAGATCTCAGTCATCCCAATGGGTTCCCCAGTAGAATTAGGATCTGAAAGTACTTCAAAAACATACCTCTTTTTCCTCTCTCCCCCATCAGGAGGGGACACCCTCCAGGATTCATTCATTTCTTTTCCTCCTTTGTCTTAGAAGAACACAAGAAAGAGTGAAGTGGAATGCCTATGCCTTCTAGAACATCAATATTTCAATGAAAAGGGAACCAGTCTCTCTCATCTGCTGTTAAAAGCTGCAATCACAATCCCTTTCTCTAGTGGAATGTGATGCAAATCAATCTGTGAGTCAATATTGGTTGTTTTTTCCTAAGCCAACTGTTCTAGTATTTTTCCAAACTTGACTGAAGAACCACTCTTTTCATTATTCTACCCCTTGCAAATTCAGAGGAATTTGTCCTCTTTTGGGGAGGACAGGGGTAGGGAGGGGCTAACTCCATTCCTCCTGACTCTCCTCTTTTAGGGGAAGAGTATGCTTAGGGAAGAGTTCTGCAGGAGGGAGAATGAGATAGAGAGTCTAGAATTGTGGGGAGAACTCATTTACAAGGGATATCTCCCACCCTTGGAAACCCAATGTGAAGGGCACTGCTACATAGGGACAGGGTAGAAGAATAGCAGTGAGTAATCATCTGAGGCCACATTTGCCCGTGATAAAACTAGATTAGAGGGTGTGGGGAACTCCTTCTAGAAAGTTATCAGAAGTCTTGAGGAGGGGTGTGGCAGGGGGGCCCTGGGGTGTAGCTCAGTAGTAGAGTGTGAGTGCAAGGCCCTGTGCTCAATCCCCAGCCCTACTCCCTTCCAAAAAAAAAAAAAATCTTGAAGTAACAAGGTAAAGAGTAAGCTAAGACTGTCAGAGGAGAGGCAGAGTATCATACTTCAAATGACCAGAGGTTGGAGATCAAAACGAAATGAGAGTGGGGAGAAACGAAAACTGGAGCACCTTGGTATGGAAAGATCCTAGTTTTTAGAACAGACATCCAAGTGGGGTAATTTTATAAAAGTCTTACAATCCAAAAGCTTACTAAAGCAATTGTAATTTCATTTTGACTTACTGTTTCCAGAGGTCAGACATTACTCTGATATCCAGTTCTCCAGCCATGGCTGCCTATTTTGTCCATCTGCTCCAGTCAGGGGGTCCCCTGCCTCTGTCTCCATGTCTCCTTCAGGTCTCCAGACCAGCTACAATCTCAGTGAGGTTAGAGAGCCAGAGGAGATTTGGTGTGGGGGGAAGGGGAGTGTATGGCTTGCCAGAGTACTGGACAGCTGAACGGAGGAGGGAGGTGGCTACTGAGTTGACGGTTTTAAAAATAGCTAAGTCCAAAATTCCAGGAACATTGGTGGCGGTAGGGTGTGGGAGTGGGAGCAGTGGGGAGGATAGGAAGATTAGACAGAATATGGAGTGTTGGGTGCCAATGTGGGGAAAGGGGAGAGAGAAATATGACAGGCAAGTCCGATATCCATTCCAGCTTATATGACTCTATAGTCACTGCCAACTCCAGGCAGTCCTCCAGCATTCTCAATAAGAGCTCCTGGCCTTTAAAAATTATAGTAGGCAATTGGACAGCTTTCATTTACTGCCTTCCTCAATGCTATACTGAATATTAAATTTAGTTTTTACATACAGTATTTGGGAGGTAGCTGTCTTTAAAGATCCACAGCAGAGGTAGTTCACAGACCTTCCCCCATCTTTGCAGAGTATTTCAGAAACTAAAAGACCCAGCTGTCCAGAGAAGAAATCTGAGCTCTGAGTTGTTTAAGATGAGGGTTTGTTCAGTCTATCCAGCTCAGATCCTTGCAGCTGTTTATCCCTTTACCTCCTCCATTTTCATTACCTTAGTTTGTAAAGCAATGCCTCCTCACTCGCCTTCATGGATATACACAACGAAATAACCTTCTGAGTGCTGGGGGAGAACAAAGGCAAAGAGGTGAAGAAGAAATGGAGATAGAATATTTTGAAGGCTACTAATCCATAGGGGAGGTGAGTTCAAGAGATAAATTGAGAGAAAAAGAGAATCAGAAATGTAATTTTGTAGAGTTACATAATCTTGTGACCTTTTTAAGATATTGCAACCAGGGAATTTAGCCATGTCATGTATTTGCAGCCAGAAGCTCATCATTTTTTAGTACCTGCCAAGTGAAATTAATACAAGAATTGATCTCAAATCTTGTCACTAAGCCATCTGTACCATTGAGCTCTACCTTTAGCTCAGAACCTAGAGATCCATGTGGTACTCTTTTCAGATACATATGCTTATGTTTTTTTATGGCAAATTTAGTTTTTCTCTGAGTCACATGAGGCCATACCATAAGAAATTCTTTTATAAAAATGTAAAGTGTCCCCAGCAAAAGTATTCAAATGACTTTAAGACACAATAATTTTGGGAGCTGGGTGCCAGCGGCTAACACCTATACTCCTAGCTACTTAGGAGAATCAAGGTTGGAAGCCAGTCTCTGCAAATAGTTTGAGTGACCCTATCTTGAAAATACCCTTCACAAATAAGGGCTAGTGACTGGCACGCACACACACACACACACACACACACACACAAAGACAATAATTTGAGACATACAAAGTGGGGTATACTCTACTAATAAAAATAAGTGTAAAAACATTATAAAGCACTCCTATTATTGGTGATAGTGTTGGTATTATTCTGAAACTATTTTGGGTATATTGTGGGATAAATGAATGAATAATAACATTGGTGGGTTTTTAAAATTTTATTCTACTCAAATGTGATATTATTATCTTTCTTTCCTTTTTTCCTTTTCCCTTAGTTTCCTCTGCCAGTCCCACTTTTGAATGCATGCTTTGTATATAGTATATATACTGCTTGTATTTGTATTGGGCCTTTGTTTTACATATGAGAGAGAACATGCAGCCTTTGGCTTTCTGAACCTGGCTAACTTCACTTAAGAAGATGTTCTCTTGTTCCATCCATTTACCTACAAATGACAAAATTTATTGATTGATTGATTGACTGATTGCAGTACTGGGGCTAGAACTCAGGGCCTTCACCTTGAGCCACTCCACCAGCCTATTTTTGTGAAGGGTTTTTTGAGATGGGGTCTTGTGAACTATTTATCTGGCCTGGCTTCAAACCGCAGTCCTCCTAATCTCCACCTCCTGAGTAGCTAGATTTACAGGCGTGAGCCACCAGTGCCAGGCAAATGAGAAAATTTTATTCTTCTTTATGGCTGAATAAAATTCCATTGTGTATAAATACCACATTTTATTAATCCATACATGAGTAGTGGGACATCTTGTCTGTTTCCATAGCTTAGCTATTGTGAATAATACTGCAATAAACCTGGGAGTGCAGGTGTCTTTATTGTAACCCAACTTACATTCCTTCAGGTACATGCCTATATTGGGGTTCTTTTTGTTGTTGTTATTTGTTTTTGTTTTTTTGAGACAGGGCCTTACTACATAACCCAGGCTGGCCTTGAACTATGTAGCTCAGGCTGACCTCAAATTTATGATCCTCCTGCCTCTGCCACCTGAGTGCTAGGATTACAAGTGTGAGACATCACACCTGGCTAATGTTGGTGTTTTGAGAATGAGATATTTGATGTGAAATAGAGATACTGATTTGTGTTGACGAAGTAACAAATCTGTAATTCCAAATGTAAATTTCAAGAATAACTCCATGTTCATGGTATATTTTTTGGTGGTACTTTGTTCTTGCTAGACAGGTGCTCTACCACTTGAGCCACACCACCAGCCCTCATGGTACATTTTGTTCCTTAAAAATTCTGATATTTATCCAGGTGCCTGTGACTCACACCTGTGATCTTAGCTACTTAAGAGGCTTAGCCTCCTGGTTTTTGATAGAGTCTCTGGACTCTATCTCCAAAATAACCAGAGCAAAATGAACTGAAGGGGTAACTCAAGCAGTAGAGTGCCTGCTTTGCAAGTGGGAAACCTTGAGTTCAAAAAAAAAATTCTGATATTTACCTTGAATAGGCCTAGAAACAATGATCAAGTAGTAATGAACACCTCTAGTGTCTAAATTGTGCTATCTAAATACTATTTCCCACTAAAAGGGACCAGAACTTCTTGGAGAAAGAGCTGATTCCAGGTTTGGAGTGGAAATTGTCCAAGATAAACAAAGATGATTTTGTGTGTATGTGTGTGTGTGTGTGCAGTACTGGTGTTTGAACTCAGGGCCTACACCTTGAGCCACTCCACCAGCCCTTTTTAGTGAAGAGTTTTTTTTTTTTTTTTCATTTTTCTTTTATTATTCATATGTGCATACAAGGCTTGGTTCATTTCTCCCCCCTGCCCCCACCCCCTCCCTTACCA